AAAATCCAATGTCAGATTAGCATGAAGTGCTAAATGAAAGTGTAATTCACTAGCTTATAAGAGCCACTAACACCAGGAGAATCATCACTCTTCAGAGCTTAATTAAAACTAAACATACCTTGCCAGGCTTCCTGTCAAGGGGTCAGATTTACAATCAGTTGTATTTTGAGGATATTGGCACTGTGCAACACAATAATAAGAAGGCATGTGACCTCTGTTTTCTTGTCTGTGAAGCATAGACCTTGAGCCTTTCACTGTTTTCTATATCACAGAATCAAAGAATCCTAGACTTGATTTAGGATAGTGAGGAAGGAGTTTATGTTTGGAGGCATGTACTTGCTAAAAAGAAGCTGAACTGCATGCTGACATTTTGACATACTGACTTCGGATCAGTGAGCTGCTAAATTTCCCGTTGAAACTGAAAAAAAACGTTGATGTCTTTTACACTTTTTCATGATACAATGTTTCTAGATGCCATTATATAGTGAAACAGTTGTGCTGGCAAAGGCACTGCCTCGAAGACAACCTTAGAATGAGCATCACTACACGCCGGTATGGGGCCTGAGACTCAAAACAGCAAGTATCTCTTCATTTAGCCTGGGAAGCATCTGCTTCTTGGAAATTTCCTAGTGATCAAGACCAGGAGTTTGACTCAGTGCCCAGTAAGCATGAAGCCTGCTCTGTTAGCAGGATAGGAAGGAGGAGCAGTGTGTGGAGATGCTTCTGGCCTGCAGGACAAGCTGTATCATGTGCTGATACTGCATATGCCTAGGGACCCTTGGAGTAGCAACTCTTGCAGTGAAGCATCTGCCATTCCAGAAGGCAGAATGGACCTCTGTGTGGAAAAATACAGATTATAGCCTGAATAGGGGACTAGCCCATGAGAAAGGACTCATATTGATACAAGCTATAATGATATTATTAAATTTGCTAGTGTTAGCCTGCAATTTGGTTAGATAACTTTGTCTCTGGACCAAGTTATCTGCTTAGAAGACAGATATAGAAGGAAGTTCTACTGAGTCTTTGTACCAAGAAAATAAGGAGAAATCTGATTCCAACCAGAAGCAGATATGCAACATACCTCTGGTAAAACTTCTGCATATGTCATACAAGTCATATATATATAAGCTGAACATCTTGTGTGCAAAGTATACATGAAAGGAGCAGCCAAATCACCAAGATAGGAAAAGATCTCTGAGATCATCCAGTCCAACTGTCCTATCATCAGTATTTCATCACTAAACCTTGTCCTCCAATACAACACCTAAACATTTCTTTAACACCTCTAGGGATAGTGACTCCACCACTTTCCTGGGCAGCCTGTACCAGCACCTAACCATTCTTTTGGAGAAGTATTTCCCATCATTTCCTGAATTTCCCCTGGCACAACTTCAAGACATAACAAAGAATGCCTGCTTTCTAACAATCCAACAAGAGTCTCAGAGAGTTTCCTGACAGACTGATTTACAGTATCACTGTTAGCTTGGAAGCACAAATGCACTGGATCTCACTTCTGCATGTAGCTAGAAGAAACTTGTTTGTGATAAACTGCTCTGAGGCTGTGTTGTGGTTTTATGATTTGTGATTGACATTCCACATCATATCTTCATGTAATCCACTGGGAGTTAAAGAGTTAATGCTGCAGTTCTGTGGACTATCCATAGCTCTGGTATCCTGGATTCAGAAGAGAAGAATGAACTACAGATCCCAGAAAACTTAATTATTCAATTTCCATTCTCTGTTCAGAGGGCTATATAAAACTGGCTGGGAGTCACAAGACAGTCTCATTTTTTGCCCACCTTTGCTTTGTATGTGCCCTGCCTGTCTCACCTACAGCATTATAGTAAAACCTTTGGTTTCAGACACTCTCTCATTTTATTTGATTTATTAGCTTCAGTTCCAATTATATTGTATCTCATACCGCTATCATATTTAGTAAATAAATTGTTTCCCTTAGATTGTTGACACTGTTTTCTTTTTTCTCATCTAGGCCTATCTCCTTGCCTTTTTCCCTTCCCCTCTTTCCTTTTTCCTGAGGCATGAGACCATGGGTTCTTTCATCTCCTGTCCTGGAATTAGGCCAAACTGGGCCAAACCAAGACAAGCTGTAGCTAAGCACCTTTGCTTTCTGTGAATGACCTTCCTTATCCTAATATATTATTGTCTTCTGCTGTTATATACATGGCCACAGTTCTAAGGGGATAGTGTAGACATTTTGCTGGTCAGACACCACTGGCATCTGTGGAGAGAAACCTCAATGTGGATGTACTACTGGACAGCCACCCCTCAGTAACGTGAAAATCTTTCTATTAAATTGACGAATATTAACTTGCCTCTGCATCCTTTCTTCAGTATCGTAAACCTTACACAGAAGTGCTGATGCTTTTCATTACAATTGGCATAGTCAGCAGGATCTGAGGAAAATAATGCTGTCAAGGGAACTGATCTGGGAGAGACTGCAAATCTGCTGGGGGAAAGAAATCCCAAGGTGTAAGTGAAGCTCCACGTCCTATAGAATTATAGAATCCTTAGAGTTGAAGGAGATCTTCAAAGGTCATCTAGTCCAGCTCCCCTGCAATGAACAGGGACATCCACAGCTGTAGTTAACTGGGGCAGTCGCCAGGGTCGACAGGGGCCCCTCGGCCCCTGGGAAACCATGGCAACAAATGTCTTGAAGATAAGAGAGAACAGGTTAGACCAAATAAGGAGGAAACAAGACGTGCCACATGTCCATTGGTCAGAGATAACGGTAGTAGCCCTAAGGCATGGGGAAAGTTTTAAGAAGGGTGTGCTCCTTGCAATTAAGGCCATTTTGCCGCTCACCGCATTGGTGTCATGAAAAGCGTGCGAAACTGACCGGGGCTGTCGGAACACTTTCACAAGGAGACTTCAGTCAGGGTCGCCGAAACAAAGGCGACACACAGCTAGATTATGTTTCCCAGGACCTTATATCCAGACTCACCTTTTGAAAGTCTCCCGGGACAGGGCATCAACCACGTCTCTGGGCAACCAATTCCCCTCACCATCCTCACTGTCATAGATTTTTTTCTTACATCTAATCTAAATCTACTCTCTTTAAGCTTGAAGCCATTTCTACTTGTTCTATCACCACAGACTCTGCTGAAGAGTTTGTTCCTTCTTTAGATAACTCCTCTCTAGACATTGGAAGGCTGCTATCAGTTTACCTCAGAGCTTTCTTTTCTCCAGGCTGAATCATAAAATCAACAGGGTTGGTGAAGACCTACAGGATCATCCAGTCCAACCATCCACCTATCACCAATAGTTCTCACTTAAACCACATACAATGGAGTGTTTAAAAATGTCCCTTGAACACCACCAGGATTGGTGATTCCACCACCTCCCTGGGTAGCCTACTCCAGCATTTGACCAGTCTTTCAGAAAAGTATTTCCTAAAGTCCAGTCTGAATCTCTCCTGGTGCAACTTGAGGCCGTTCCCTCTAGTTCTATCACCAGTTACACAAGGGAAGAGGCTGACGCCCCACTCACTACAACCTCCTTCAGGTAGTTATAGAGAGCAGTAAGGTCTCCCCTGAGCCTCCTCTTTTCCAGACTGTGCAATCCCATCTCCCTCAGCCACTCTTCATAAGACTTGTGCTCCAGACCCCTCACCAGTTTCTCTGCCCTTCTCTGAACACGCTCCAGGGCCTCAATGTCTTTCTTATATTGAGGGGCCCAAAACTGAACACAGTACTCACGGTGCAGCCTCACCAGTGCTGAATATAGAGGAATGATCACTTCCCTGCTCCTGCTGGCAGCAAAATTTCTTGGCCATCTCGGCCAACTGAGCACACTGCTGGCTCACGTTCAGCCAAGAATCAACCAATACGCACTCCTGGGGAACATCACTCATGACTGGTAGCCAGCTGGATTTAACTTGGTTTACCACTAAGTCTTTTCTGTGCTTTCTGTTCTGCTTGGAATTTGAATCTTGATAACTGCTGAACTTCTAATCATGTTCTATTAGAGAGAAATTAATATTGGTAGAACTCAGTTTTCTTTCTTATCAGATTCAGAAGCTTCCCATTAAAATCAATTGGAACATCCCTGAAATTCAGTAAGATTTGTATAGCAACTAGGGTGAAATAAGGGCATGTATACAACTAGTCGGTATGGATCAGTTGATAGGCATGCACTTATCATACCTGATTTTTTTTTGAACAGTGTGCTTGTAACTTTATATAAACATAATTGTATAAGTAAGGCAGAAATGACATTTGCCTCAGCTAGGCTGACACATTAAGTACAACTAAACCCATACTATGCTAAGTGGACACAGTGTTGTTCTGTACACTGAGAGCCTCTCCACTTGTTGCTAGGTACAGTTTTATCAAACAGCGTTTCAAGGTACATTTGAATCTGAGGATCAGGATGTCTCAGGAGCAGAGGCAAGCAAACTATGCATTCAGAACAGCACAGAGCGTTATAAATTTTGTTTAACATACCCACACACACACAGGCATCCATTTTAGATAATCCCAGTAAGTGTCAAGCAGAAACTCCCTAAGTAAGTGCACTGTAACTTATGGACACTTGAGAGATGGCAAACTCCTGAAAAGCAGAGAGAAGGAGCATGCTGGCAGTGGATCCTATAGGTAGGACCAGCAGAGCATCCCCTGCCAGCCTCTCTGCCGTTTTTATTCTCCCCAGGATCTACAGGGCTTTTATCACTTGCACATAGTACCCGCATGGCCAACGCATGATACAGAGCCCAAGTGGGACACCTGCTTGCAAAACAAGGTTCCCGACACATCGAGGTAGTGTGAAACTGCCGTGCACAAAGGCAGCCAGGTAGTAGCGCTCCCTCTCCTCTGCCCGTCCTGGGAAACCCCCCCCCCCCTCCTTCCCCCTGGCCCCCGGAGCCCCGGGGCTGCGGCAGGTGCAGGCAGCAAGAGACATTGAGCCTGGGCGTGGACAAGGGAGGGGAGAAGGCCGGGCTGGAGGGGCTGGAGACAGTAGGCGGGCAGGGACTTGACGGGGCAGTACTTAAGGAGTGGTGCGTGCCACAGCTGTTCTTTGTGTACTTGTCCTTACGTCTACTCGTTGCTATCCTTCAGCAGGATGCCTGTCAAAGGAGGCACTAAGTGCATCAAATATTTGCTCTTTGGCTTCAACTTCATATTCTGGGTAAGAGACCCGTGTCTGGATTCGGGAGGGGACCCTCTCTAGCGCTTTCCCGACGGGACCTCCCACGGGAGGGAGCTGAGATCTGCTCTGACCGCGCGGAGTAGGAGCGGGAGCGGCAGCGGTTGTTGCAGTTTGCTTGTTTTGGGATTTGTTTCTTCCTAGTTCTTTTTCCCCTGCCCATAGAGGAGGCACGCTGTGCTCTCTCCTCTGTCCCGTCGAAGCCTCTACGGGTCGGGAGCGTCTGCCCCGCCCTCGTCGAGCCGGTATTACAGGGCTCCTGGAGTAGGGGCCACAGCCGCGCTGCTCTCCCTGGAGCCCGTCCTGATTCGCCGGTTTAGAAACGGCCGGAAGCGTTCACGAGAGCCCTGCAACTAAGTGCTGAGGAAGGGTTGGGGCCGTCCGTGCTCGGGAGCGGGGCACAGTTGGGTGCGGCCTTCAGAGATTTCTTGTGCTGTCAGGAGGAGCCTGAGTAGAACTCACAGCCAGCTCATGTTTTCTTTTTAGTTTTTTTAGTGTTTTTTTTTTTGTTTTTTTTTTGTTTGTTTTAGAGCTATAGTTGGAAAAGACAAGCTGCATATCCTATTTGTGTTACTGTGTGATGCAGCTGGATGGGAAGGCAGCTTTCCCAACACTGTGTACCGTGAAGCTACTCTTCTTGGCAGTATGGAGGCTGTTTTGGTGTGCAGACTATTGGGGGTACTGAATTAAATCCTTGCAAGGTAGCATTTGAAGTCACTGTTGTCTTATGCATTAACTTTTCTTGGTGGGACCCCTGGGTAAAGCCAGAGCTTCTGCATCAGATCTTTGAGGCAGTGCCTCCTCAAGAAAAGCCTAAAATGATTCAATATGTAGTAGCATAGAACAAGTAGGAGTTGTATCTCTAGCATGGCTTTGGGTACAAATACCTCATGTGTACAGCAGTATTGAGAAACATGACGTACCTTATGTTCAAGCTGCTGAAAGGACATCTGAATTTATTGGTGTTTGCCTTCTGGGAAAAGTATAGAGGAAACACAGTGTGACTTCCTGTGTGCTGGATATATAAGTGTGAGGGTAAAGGGAATTTGTTTGAGAAGCAATTCTTCCTTATTTCAAATAAAAAACAAATTTTCTCTGCTGTCTGCTGCTGCAGAGAACTGCATGTGTGACATTTTTATGCTCATCACCCTCTGAAGAGGAGAAAATAAATTAGAATTTTATAAAGATAAAGAAAAGATAGATAAAGAAAATCCTAGACTTTTAGGATGGTGAATCCTTAGATGTTTAGGATGGTGAGGAGGGAGTTTAGTTTGGAGGCATATAATTACTAAAAAAGGAGCTGAATTGCATATTAGCTGAAGCCTCTGAATCAGTGAGCTGCTAAACTTCCTGTTGAGTCATGAAAAAAGGTTGATGCCTTCTTTGTCTAGTGCAGCCCTGCTGAAAAATACCTGGGAGTATTAGTAGATGGAAAGCTGGGTATGCATTAGCAATGCACCCTTGCAGCCAGGAAACTAACTGTACCCTTGGCTACACTTCTTTTGATGCAGACAGTAGGTCAATGGAGATGATCCTGCCCGTCTACTCTGTGCTGGAGTAATGCATCCAGATGTGGAGTTCTCAGTACAGGAGTGGTGGGTGAAGGAAATGCTTCTGGCCTGCAGAATCATGTGCTGACACTGCATATGCCTAGGTAACTCTTGCAGTGAAGCATCTGCAACCCTAAAAGGCAGAATGGCCTTTCCAAGGGTAATAATGATCCAAATATGGGAAAAGGATGGGTAAAGGTCCTGTAAGAGAAGAATTTGAGGGAGATCTTAGAATGGCTTGAGTTGGGAGGGATCTTAAAGATCATCTAGTTCCAACACTTCCTACTGTAGGCAACTCTGCCACCTACAAGATTATGCATCCCAGGGCTCCATCCAATTTGGCCTTGAGTACCTCCTGGGATGGGGCATTCGTGACTTCTCTAGGCAACATTTAAGAAAGTCTTTCCATAGTCGTCTTATCTTTCTGGAGGTGAAAAATTGGACTGTGCATAAATAAGTGCCATTTATACCAAACCTGGAAGTCTGATCAACTGTTTGGCTGTGAGACACAGAGGATGGAAGGAATGCCCGTTATAGGGACCTCAACAGACACAAAGTGTGGGCCTAGGTAAACCTAATGAGGTTCAACACAGCAAAGTGCAGAGTTATGCACTTGGGACTGAGGAATCCCAGGCATCCATACAGACTGGAAGGAGCAGTCCTTCCAGACAGCAGCCCTGCAGAAGAGGACCCGGGGGTCCTGATGGATGAAAAACTTAACATGAGCCAGCAGTGTGCTCTTGCAGCTCAGAAAGCGAATGGTATCCTGGGCTCCATCAGAAGAGGGTTGGCCAACAGGAACAGGGAATTGACTATCCCTCTCTACTCCACCCTTGCGAGGCCCCATCTGGACTACTGTGTCCAAGCGTGGAGCCCCCAGTACCAGAAAGACATGGAGCTGTTAGAGAGGGTCCAGAGGAGAGCCACAAAACCGATCAGGGGACTGGAGCACCTCCCCTACGAGCACAGGCTGAGGGAGCTGGGCTTGTTCAGCCTGGAAAAAAGAAGGCTGCAGAGTGACCTCATTGCAGCCTTTCAATACCTAAAGGGAGCCTACAAATAAGAGGGGAATCAAGTCTTTGAAAGCGTTGATACTGCAGGACAAGGGGAAATGGTTTTAAGTTGAGGGAGGGGTTGGGTTGATTTAGGTTGGATGTCAGGGGGAAATTCTTTACAGAGAGAGTGGTGAGGTACTGGAACAGGCTGCCCACAGAGATTATGGATGCCCCATCCCTGGAGGTGTTCAAGGCCAGGTTGGATGGAGCCCCAGGCAGCCTGGTCTAGTATTGGCAGCCTTGCTGTGGCAGGGGGGTTACAGATTCATGATCCTTGAAGTCCCTTCCAAGCTGGGCCATTCTGTGATCCCCAAGAGGAGTAAAAAAACCTTTGCTTTATTCTACATAGCCCAAAGTTCTGGCATTCTGTTGTCCAAGAGCTACTTAACATTGTCCGCATTGCTATAGTTAGAGCCAGTGTGCCTCCTGAACCAGCAGAAAGTGCAGATTGCTTGAAGTGTGATGAAGTTCATATTTATTTTTAAAACAGTTGTCCTCAAAAAGACAAGTGAAGAATTTAAATGGCCTGCAACAAACGTACAGATATGTACAAACGGTATATTAAGTGACATATTATCTCTCTTCAAAACAGATTTGAGAGAGAACAAGAGGAGACAATAAGGGTGTCAGGGGTTACTAAGACCAGAAGTGGGAAACAGAGTTGAAGCTGTTTTCCAAGAAGATAAATGTCCATAACTGCTGGCAAGCCACATAAAAATGCAGTAAGGCAAGCTGGAATTGAGCTTTACAGTAACTTGCAAAAAAAAAAAAAAAAAAAAAAAATCCAAATAATATACTCCTTCTTTAGAGGCACTAGGACCAGGAGGCCTTCCAGAGTCCTTAAATGCAGTAGCCAATCCAGGTGTAAGTGGGTTAGTAGGAAGATACTGCAAAACTTGACTTTGCTTGGCATGTTTGAGGAACACGTGGGATGTCCTGTGGAATAACCTGTCCGTGACACCATATCCATCTTGGGATTAATCTCCTGATGGAAGACTAGTGAAATAACAATAAAAAATACTGACTAAAAACTTGCCAGAGTCATAACAGTTATTTCAGAACTATAAATAAATGTGCTGTGCTTAGGTAAAACCTCTGGCTTACTGCTTACCTTAGGGACAGGGAACTGGAGTGCAGTAGACATTATTTACAGCTCCTATAAAAATAGAACAGTGGCATATATGGTGCCTCTGGAATAGACTGAGAAGATTCTCTTTATAAAAAGTTGGTGTACAGATGGAGATGTGATGTTATGCAACAAAGAATGGCTACTGTAAGGAATTTAAGATGCAGTTTGCTTTGAAGCCTTCAAAAGCCTGAATGCTGGAGGAGGAGTGAATGCTTATTACTACTAGTTTACTTTTTGTATGTCCCCTAGAAGTTTAAGGGCTCTTTGGGGATGCTAAGCAGTCCTGGAGTGACTTACCAGCATGATGCCTATTGACAAGAACTGTCAGAAGGAGGATCTGGGGAACTTACAAGCCTGTAAGCATGATTTTGGTATTGGATCATGAAGCAGATTGTTATGTGTGTTCCCATGGCAAGTGCAGACAACTGGGGAATTTGGTCATGGATTTGTGAAAGACAGATCCTGCTTGACCAACTGGATCTCCTTCTGTGACCAGGTAACCAACCTAGCAGATGAGGGAAAGGTTGTAGATTTAGTCTACCTAGGCTTTAGTAAAGCTTTTGACTGTCTCCCACAGCATTCCCTTGGAGAAGCTGTCTGCCTGTGGATTGGATAAGTGTACTCTTTGCTGTTTAAGAAAAAATAAAAAATAAAAATACCAGCTGAGCCCAGAATGGGATGGAGTTAAATCCAGTTGGTATCTGGTCACTAGTAGTGTTCCCCAAAGATCAGTACTGGGGCTAGTCCTCTTTATTGATGATCTGGATAAGGGGATTGAGTGCACCTTCAGTAAGATTGCAAATGGCACCAAGATGGGAGGAAGTGTTTATCTGGGGTAGGAAGGCCCTATGGAGGTGTCTGAATAGGCTGTATTGATAGTCTGAGGTCAGTTGCTTCAACTAGACCAAGTTCTGGGTCCTGCACTTCAATCACAACAACACAGTGCTGCGGAGTGTTGGGGAAGCTGCATGGAGAAAAAAATATGAGTGCTACTCAACAGGTGGCTGAACATGAGTCACCACTGGGCCCAGGTTGTCAACAAGGTCAATGGCATTGTGGCTTGTGTTAAACACAGCACAATCAGTAAAACTGGGGAGGTGATGTCTGTCTATACTCAGCACTGGTGAGGCTGTGAATCTAGTACTGCATTCAGTTTTGGGCCCCTCACTACAAGAAAGACATTGAGACCCAGGAGCTTTCTCAAAGAACGGCAACAAAGCTGGTAAAGGGTGTGGAGCACAAGTCTTA